TCCCTTTTCAGCATGGAATAAGCCTTTACTTGTTCCTTTGCAGCCAATTTGTGCCGACGCAGCTCCCTACTTGAACTCTCGGTTCTCGACTGAGAAGGCTTGGAGAACTTAACAACCATTTTATTTTCTTTGTGATACAAGTTTGAAGTGCGATGACAAATTAAACCAACATTTTTATCAATTTTATATATCAGAGTATATTTACTTGACATTCACAATCACTTAAGCATACGGAGGAGTGTCATGTCAAGGAGATGTCCCCCCTTCCCCCCATGGAGAGACTGAAAGTAATTTGGAAGGATTAACAATCCAGCCATTGCAAAGGGTGCAACTGCATTAGCCACAAATAAAGATACTTTTTTTCTCTCTTGATCATAACTGTAACGTTTCACTTCCTTGTGTAACAATCATGATGTTTCCGAAATATGAAGCTTCTTGATTTTTGATTTGCTACCAATAAGTTTATTAACAATATTAATTTACTGATATAGATATACTGTATGTATTTAGCTGGTTATATCAGTTATATTAATTTCATATATCACAGTATTTAAATGTTCAATTCACATAAATGTTCTCATAGCTATTGGGGACCCCATCCACTCAGACAAAGTTGATAAAGGCATTACAAATTCAAAGGGGTGCCTGTCGCAGAGTTCAGCACATTTTAAATTAATGAGAGGCTATGAACAGCAGCAGCACTTATGTCATGTTAGTTGTCTTATAATAAATAATATAATAATTATTATTAACAATAATTAACAAACAATATAATACATCAAATTCCAAAAAGATTACAGAACGTCTTCTTTTTAGTTTTCAGTTTAATGGGGCAAATATAAAGTTAAATCAGTCAGGATCTCTGTAGGTGTCCTAACAGTTCAATGAAATAAGATGCAATACATTCAGGTAGACAGATTTTTAAAGGTTTGTCTTTAAGGTTTGTCAAAATCAGATTATTTGCAAGCAGTACACAACTTCTCAAAAGATACTCGTTTCTCTCATCCAAACAAAAGTTTGATTTTTTTTATAATTTTAAAACCTTGAATGGTTGGATGGTATGACTCATTTACAGTGTAATCCAAACAAAACAGCTGCTGGGCACACTGTGATCTTGTGGCTAAGGATCCACGCCTGCAGCTGGAAGGTTTCCTGTTCATATCCCGCGGCCAGGAGAGGAATCCTACTCCATTGGGCCCCTGAGCAAGGCCCCAACTGCTCCAGGGGTGCCGTATAAATGGCTGACCCTGCACTCTGATCCCAAGCACATGGAGAGCAAGTTGAGGTATGCAAAAAGACAGATTCCTAATAAATTGTATATGGCCAATAAAGTGATTTTATCTTATCTACATGCAGGTGTGAAGCAGAGTTAACAGCTTCTGTTTTAAACAGTTTTGGATTTGTGTTAAGATTTGGAACTCTTGATACAATGATGAATATAGCTGAGGTTCAACCGTTTGAAGTTTAAGCTTTTAAAGTCATGCAAGTTGGGGAGGGACATGTCATTGTTTCGTAATTTTGACTTTCTTAAAAAAAATGTTTAAAAAATCAGCTCCCCACTTTCCCCATTCCGTAACTATAGTGGGAATTTAGTATATTTGGGAGCTTGTTCAGGATCTTTGATTACGGGTAGTTGTGGTGTCCATCATGGCTAGCAATTTACAGGATTTTACTCTGTGCCCAATTTTGGAACAGTCTGAGAAATGTCACAAGGTACGTATTTAAGGCATAGTGGGTTTTAGTTGCTTGGTTTACTGAGGACGTATCAGATGTTAAATTAAGGAAGGTGGCAACCCCCACCCGCGAACAGACAAACATGAAAAACATCCATTCAAAAGGGTGCAGTGTGTTAACACAAACTCTGCTAACAGAGCCGCTTGTAAGAGCAAGGTAACTTTCTACTCAATTACATGACAGCTACAGCAAACTCATCAAAGGTTTATTTTTTATAATTCTGTAACTTGGAATATATGCCTCAGGGACTCATAGTATAATCAAAATAACCGCCCCCCCAAAACATGTGAATCCGAAGAAGTCAGATCCAAAGATATTCCGAAACAGTAGCGCACACAGCAATGAACAGCAGTGTGTTTGTATACTGTATACATATACTGTATATACAGTATGATACCATATGGTTTCAAAGCCACTACAGTACAGTATGAATGACATTTTTTTAAATCAAAATTTAAAGTTAATACAAATTTCAGCAATGAGGAAATTAAGACAAAATATAACATTTCTTAATGCAGATGTAAACCAGCACATAGCGTTCAGAACAAGCTATAATAATAAACTATTTTCATACAGTCAGCTATGTAAAAAATACAGCCAAAAGGATCTGAAAAGACAAAAATCAGCACGTCAACTCTTCAGCTTAAAGCTCGTCCATGGTTATTCATTATTAATATTGTTAATAGTATATCCAGATTGCATTTCAATTGGAACGTTTTTACACATATAAATAGGTAGACAAGACTTGAGGCGTTAAAAATTGAGGCGTTACAGCAGCCCAGCCCAAGAAAAGCAAGACAGACATCAAAATAAGCTAAAATTAAAAGTAATTAAATAAGTGTATAATATGCATAGGTATACAGAGATGAAAAATACCACAGTATAAACAATATATTAATAATGCAGTGTCCAAAAGTACATGAGTGCAACATACTGTCCATAGATGAACAGACGAAGGGCTAACAGGCCTAGCCTAGGGCAGTGTTATACATCCTGACAGCCACCGGGAGGAAGGACCTGCGAAAATGAACACAGTAGCTGGAGAAGTCTGTTACTCAAAGTGCTCCACTGTCTAATACCAGTCCCATGTAGCAGATGAGAGGCATTGTTCATGATGGCCGTGAGCTTGGCCAGCATTCTCCTCTCTGCCACCACCTCCAGGGGGTCAAGGCTCAGCCCCAAAACTGAGCCAGCCTTCTTGATGAGTTTGAGTCTATTTACATCTCTCTCGCCATGATGCTGCTGCCCCACCACACAACAGCATAGAAGATAGCAGCTGCCACAACTGATTCATAAAAATGCATAGCAGTGTTCCACATACACCAAAGGACCTGAGCTTCCTAAGAAAACAGAGTTGGCTCTGACCTTTCTTGGACAGGGCGTCAGTGTTAATAGACGATACACGATGCGACAAACGATACCAAAAAGAAGTGATACACAACGCGTCTCCTCTATAACTCTTCAGTTTACAGAACAATTACCCCAGAGCCACAAACAGACAAATTGTGTCTAATTTCTAGGGAATAACCGTACTGCAAAGGGAATGGCGCATTGGTCCTTGATTATGGTTAAACAGTACATACGATATCTGGTGGAGTTTCAACATTCACTTTTCTGTAAAATGTACAGAACCATAATGTCCCAATAAACAGGGGGAACTCCACGGACTTCCTTTTTTGAACTAGACCATGTTCCAGCAAATAATGTACAGTACATCACCTTCTGCAATGCTTCTAGTTTAGCAGGATTTACACGATAACCACATTTTATAATGGGGCTGACATTACCCACATCTAAATCGCTGTACGGTACATGTCTGAGTTGGAGTGTCTTAATAAACAGAGCACCTTCCAATAAATTTAACTATGTTTTTTTCTTTCATTGCAGCTAAATGTGGCGAATACAAAGACAA